CCTGGGGGCCCAGGAGGAGCAGGGTGATGGGTCAGGACCCCACCAGAACCCACAGCTCACAGCATCCACCTCCAGCTCACTCCAGGGCCGCAGTCTTTTTTTTTTTTTTTAATTTATTCATTTTTATTAACAGATAATGTATTAGGGCGCCTGGGTGGCTCAGTCATTAAGCATCTGCCTTTGGCTCAGGTCATGATTCCCGGGTCCTGGGATCAAGCCCCACATCGGACTCCCTGTTCTGGAGAAGCTGCTTCTCCCTCTCCCACTCCCCCTGCTTATGTTCCCTCTCACTGTCTCTCTCTCTCCATCAAATAAATAAATAAAATATTTTTTAAAAAAGCAGATAGTGGGGGCACCTGGGTGGCTCAGTGGGTTAAGGTTAAGCCTCTGCCTTCGACTCAGGTCATGATCTCAGGGTCCTGGGATCAAGACCCATATCAGGATCTCTGCTCAGCAGTGAGCCTGCTTCTCCCTCTCTCTCTCTCTGCTTGCCTCTCTCCCTACCTGTGATCTCTGTCTGTCAAATGAATAAATAAAATCTTTGAAAAAAAAAAGCCAATAATATATTATTTGTTTCAGGGGTACAGGTCTGTGAATCATCAGTCTTACACAATTCATAGCACTCACCATAGCACACACCCTCCCCAATATCCATCACCCAGCCACCCTCTCCTAACGCCCCTCCCCTCCAGCAACCCTAAGTTTGTTTCCTGATATTAAGAGTCTTATGGTTTGTCTCCCTTTCTGGTTTTGTCTTGTTTCATTTTTCCCTCTCTTCCCCTGTGATCCTCTGAGTTATTTCTCAAATTCTACATATCAGTGAGATCATATAATTGTCTTTCTCTGATTGACTTATTTCATTCAGCATAATACCCTCTAGTTCCATCCACATAGTCGCAAATGGCAAGATTTCATTTCTTTTGATGGCTGCATAGTATTCCATTGTATACATACACCACATCTTCTTTATCCATTCATCTGTTGATGGACATCTAGGTTCTTTCCATAGTTTGGCTATTGTGGACATTGCTGCTATAAACATTCGGGTGCACGTGCCCCTTCGGATCACTACGTTTGTATCTTCAGGATAAATACCCAGTAGTGCGATTGCTGGGTTGCAGGGTGGCTCTATTTTCAACTTTTTGAGGAACCTCCATGCTGTTTTCCAGAGTGGCTGCGCCAGGTGCATTCCCACCAACAGTGCAGGAGGCTCCCCTTTCACCGCATCCTCGCCAACATCTGTCATTTCCTGACTTGTTAATTTTAGCCGTTCTGACTGGTGTGAAGTGGATCTCATTGTGGTTTTGATTTGTATTTCCCTGATGCCAAGTGATCCTGAGCACTTTTTCATGTGTCTGTAGGCCATTAGGGTGTCTTCTTTGCAGAAATGTCTGTTCATGTCTTCTAGGGCTGCAGGCCTTGAAGGGAGCACAGATGCAGGTCAGGTTCGAGTGCTTGTGCTCACTGTCTTCTTGTCTCAGAGCAGACACCTGAATCTGAGCCGTACAATGTGTCTGCCTGTGTTTCCGCTGGACAGCAAGATGCTGATAGGGTTGTGTGTTTGGGCCCAACTCCTATTGGGCTGTGCCTGGTCCTAAAGATGTGGGGCACCACCCAGGACAGGATAAACTGTGCCCTTACCTGGTGACAGCGTACCTGACTGCTCAGGGCCCCAGGAGAACCCACAGAGAGCAGCTCCCTGCCTTCCCCAGAAGCTGGGTGGGACCCTTGGGTGGAGTGTCTGCTCCAGAGCAGGTGTTGAGCGGGTCAGTTGCCTGGGAAACCACCGCAGGCTCAGGGATGACAGCATATGGTCACTGGGGTCATCTGAGGAACATGTGCGCTCAGTAAACACTTTTGATGGGACAGCACAGATGGCTGCCACGCCCAGTTTAGTGGAAAGCTGCTGGTCTTATCTGGCACGTATGTGAACCCCCACTGTCCTCAAGGGGAAGGTTGCGACAGAGGGAGGCAACAGCATCCCCTCTCAGCTGCCCACACTGCACCTGCACCAGCCTGACACCGGGACCACCTGCCTCGGCTGAGCACAGGACCCCAGACCCATCAGCAGGGGGAGGGCAGGACCCAGTGTGGGGTGGGACAGGAGAGGCTGCTGGGGCCCCATGAGTTGCCTCTGGAGGGGTCAGCAGGCAGGTGTGGAATTAGTGATGAAGCTGCTACCCTAGGGTCCATGGGAGGCCACGGTTCTAGACATTATGGGAACCCACCTGGGAAGAGGAGGCCTGGCCTGACCCTCTTTACATGGCTGGGAGTCTGAGGCCGCTGAGCCTGCGGCCAGAGGCGCGTGTCCCTCTCCAGCCCTGCCTGTGTGTGAGTGCGGGCCCAGGCCTGGCAGAGCCTCACAGGGAAGGGGGGCTGTGGGGCCGCTCCTGTGGGGGTGGGCTTGGTCCTGTGTGTGGTGGCAGGGCTGGTCCTAGGCCGCAGACAGAGCTCTGATGACCAGCACTGGGGACATGCCCATGTGTGCCCTGGGGTGTGGGGGTGACACTTCCCAGGAGTACTTTGTTCTCGGGCTCCTAGCTTCTCATTGTGACACAGTGAGGTTCCTAGAAAATCAGAAAGGAAATGTGACTCGTGAGATGGTGTAAAGACAGAAGACAGGCCCAAAGCACTAGAGGCCCCGTGTCCTTGGCTCTAGGAGGGGACTCTGTGCCTGGTCATCGACACACTGGTGAGCAGGGTGGCCCGGGCCGAGTGGGAGCCCAGGGACAGAGGTGAGGGGTTCTAGGGGTGCAGGCTGGGGACAGGAGACCACCAGGCTGGTTGTGAGCACAGGGACGGAGTCTCTCCGGCACCAGGCCTCCTAGATGGGGGCTGTTCCCCCATCTAGGGGGAACTTACTCTACAGTTACTCTACAGTTGTCTCCTGCGGCCCCCCCGCAGGCGCTGAGCTAACATGAGAGATGGGAATGGTTTAATCAAGACTGGCCAGCTGTGCCCCAGGAACTAACAGTCAGCCCCGCCCTGCTCTTCTCAGCGAAGCTGTTCCTCAAAAGCCTAGGGAGGCAGCCGGCCATGGGCACCTGCTCAGAAGACCCCCACCTGTGCGGGGCCTCCTGGCTCCTGCGATTCACCAGCCTCCTTCTCAGTGAGTGGCCCGGGCCCCCTGGGAGGGAGGCGGCCGGGTGGGCAGGGAGGCAGGAGCTCCCGGGCTGGCTGAGGTCTGTGCTGAAGAGCCAGACGGAGCAGCCCCGTGACGACGGAGCACACGCGGTGCGCTGGGTTAGAGCCCCGGGGTGGACAGAGGGAACAAAGGGAGCTTTGGGCTGAGGCCAGGCTGGGAACCCCGACCCGGCTGCCTGGAAGGGAATCCCCTCTCCCTCCCGGGGGTGAGGCCAGGAGACCCGGGAGCCTCCTGTGGTGAGGGATGGAGGAGACACAGGAGCGGCTACGGGGACCCGGGGTGGGGACGGACATCCCCCCTGCCGTGCACGGGGACCGGCAGCCTCTACAGCTGCCGTGTGCAGGAGGGGCCGACCCAGAGCCCCCGTCTGAGCTGGAGGGGCCGCGCTAGTCTGGCTCCTTGGGCAAGATGAGGCCCCGAATCCAGTGACATTCTGTTTGCAAGGGAAGGTAAGAGCCCCCAGAATTCAAGGGTCTGCGCCCACCTGCCCTGTGTAAGGGTGAGCCGGGAACGGGAGACTGCTGACCTGGGCTCTGGGTGGGGGTACTTGGGGGGCAACAGAGGGGGCCCCAAAAGAGAACTGAAAGACTGTTTTAACAAGAGCCCCATTTTCTGGTTCTTAACTTCATCGGAGTCCATTTGCTTATGTGTAACAAATGAAATAAGAACAAAGGAGAAAACAGTAAGATCTCCGAACTGTGAGTTCCGGGACAGCTTGGGAAGCTGTTGTTGTCTGTACTGTTTGCTGCAAACACACCGGCCCCTCTGTTCCTGCAGCGATTCTAGGGAAATTCTGGAAACACTGGACATTTGTAAACAGGAGGATTACTCATTAGAAAATGAGCTTTGCAAATCATTGAGACCCTTTTTTGAACAAAATCACTTCCTGTTGGTAAATGTAGGCTTTCTCTTCTTTTCAATCGGTTTAACTAGAGATATAATGGGAAATTACAGAATTCTCTTCCATAAATATCAGGGTTAGAAGATTTTGTAAGAATGAAAGGAAGGATGAGAGGGAAACGGACAAAATTCTATGTTAATGGTTGAAAGTCACATTTCATCTAATTTAAATAAACTCGGGCTCTCTTGCTCACAGCACCCGCCCCTGACCTTCTGTCCCTCTTTGGGGTCAGCACCTTCTGCAGATCTGAGCACTGTCGTGTCTTCCTCCCGTCCTGAGTGGGCTTCCAGCTTCGGGGCCGCTCCTCCCCCGCAGCCTGAGGGCTGAGCCTCCTCTGTCCCGGGTTCCCCCCTTTCCAGTAGGGGCCGGTTAACCCTCAGGTAGCCCCGCATCCCCGCCCTGCCAAACCCTGCCGAGTACTTGAGTCCCTTCTCCCGGGACAATAGTTGAGGCATGTGACCCCAGTTCTGCTCAGACCTGGTGACCAGACAGCAGAGTTGGGAGGGAGGAACGTAGGGCAGTGGAGGGGGAAGGCAGGAAAGAGCAGGGATGGGGAGGGTGCAGGTCATCTCCCTGCAGGGGAAGCACTGGGCTGGGAGAGATGGAAGCCACCTCAAGGTCTGGTTCTGCCCTGGATAACCTAGACCAGTCCACCCACCCAAGGGAACCCCTCCTCTGTGAAAGATCCCCTCAAAGACCCTCCAGCTGTGACATCCTGGGACTGGGGGTCTCTCCCGGATGGGACTGTCCTGTAGCTTCTCTGAGGCCTCTACTCGGTGTCTCCCTCTTGTCTTGTCCTCGTCCTGCATCCTGATGGGGACAGACAGCCGGGGAGTCTGCTTGGGGCCCCTTCAGCACCCAGAGCCCAGGACTACCAGTGGTCACTTCCTCCGCCCTCCAAGAAGGAAAGGATGCATTTTCAAGGCTCCCTGCAGTCCTCGGACCATCTGCTGTCTCTGTCTCTGCTCCTGAGTGGGGTCTGCCGAGCTCCCGCCCCGGTGTGTGGACCCCGGTGTGCAGGGCCCACTCAGGACAGCCAGATGCCGCGGGGGCGGTGGGGGGGTGCCGTCGAGCAGCCCCTCAGGAACAGCCTGGCTGGAGCGGCGCGGCTGCTGCCCATGGTCGGCAGAAACGCCAGCATCCATGTCCCTATCCCCTGGGCCGGACCCCTCTGACACACACAGGGGTCACTAAGAGCGACAGTGTGGGCTCAGAATTCCTGGGGAGCAGCCCGTGGACAGGTGCCACCCTGCGGATGGATCTGCTGTCCCTCAGGGAGCCCCGGGCACCGTCCCCCTGTTGGAACAAGGGCGGCTTCTCTGACTGTGGTTGGCGTCCTGTGTGCACCACACTCTGTGTATTTTGCACACGAGATGTGCCCCGACTGAAGGCTGGGTGGGGACATGGGTGTGACGGGACACTGTTGTTCTTCATGAATTCAGGAGGAAATCCCATCCCAGGAAGAGTCAAAGTCCAGCCCTCTCCAGGCCACCAGGAAGCGCAACGGATCGACACAGATGTCCTGTGTGTGCGCGGGTTCATCGTGTTTGTGGCCAACAGAGAGAGGACGCACGTCCTTCACGGTGCTGACTTTCGGGAGGACGCGTCCCCTGAACTTGTGCTTGAACCAGCCCAGAATCCATAGGATCACGTTGAATGAGCCCAGAGTACTGTCCAGTCACGAGAAGACCCGCTGAGGAGAGGGGACAGGCGCACACCGAGCGCAGGCACGATAGACATTGTTGTCACCCGCACGTGGGAGAAGGAGTACCGGTCCTCCCTCTGTCTCCACCACTCTGCCCAGCAGCTCGGGGGGCTCAGCCACCTGGGGACAGGGAGGGGACAGGGGCCATGGAAGCCAGCTGCTGTGGACACAGCCAGGAGTGTCCTCTGGGTCAGAAAGACCCCGGCAGGACTTCGGCTCCCCGTGACCGCTGATGGGATCGCACCCTGGGCGTCTGTGTCCCAGGGCCCATCCCTCATCCCAGGAGGAGCCCAGAGGGGCAGCTGGGGGAGAGACATGGGCTCCATCCTGAGCCTGGGAAGGCCAAGCTGATCCCGGAGCACTTGTCAAGGACCATCGTGGTGGTGAGAGCAGCTCACACGGATGGGAACGCCTTCCTCTCCTGACATCCTAGCGCTCATTCTGGGGGCAGACGGCTAGTACATCCCCATCCCAGAGGGAAGGCCGAAAGCACGCGGGCCACGTGGCTGCTCCCATCCACTCGCTCAAGGGGACAGAGGACCTGGTCTCAGGCCTCCCAGACCCTCCCCTCCAGGCTGCCGACCGCCTGCTGCACAGACCTCCCAGTCTGACACCCAAGCACGGTCCCTGTGCGTCAGACTCACAGCGGAACACTGAAGTAAGGAGGTTCCAGAAGGAAAGAAGAGAGAATTAGGAGCACACTTTGATGTGGGGGAGCTGATCTTTTTATGTGAGGGATAATCCGGGAAGCCTTACAGGATCCTTACGTGTAACTGTGAGGACAATAGCAGGGCCATTAGTCCGAGACAATGCTGAGATGCAAACCCGAAACTATTTATATTATTTTGCTAGGAAACAGGCTAATCTTATCAATAGAACTAGCTCTGAGGTGCTAAAAAGAGAAACGCAGGCACGGGCCGAGGACAGGAGCAGACGGCTCACAGCGGCCAGAGGACATCAACAGCCGTGGGACGTGGTGACCGGGTTCATGTACAGGAGAAATGCTCGTGAGAATATGAGGTCACAGCATTTTCTCTTACCAATTTAGCAAAGATCAGAAAATTCGGGGGGCACATGGGTGGCTCAGTGGGTTGGGGCCTCTGCCTTCGGCTCGGGTCGTGATTTCGGGGTCCTGGGATCGAACCCCACATCGGGCTCCCTGCTCGGCAGGTAACCTGTTTCCTCCCTCTCTCTCTGCCTGCTTCTCTGCCTACTTGTGATCTCTGTCTGTCAAATAAATGAAAAAAATCTTTAAAAAGAAAGAAAGTTCGGTCACCGGTGTTGGTGGGAAACCGAAGCATTATTGGGGGGACAGCTGCTGGGGTCGCTCTCAGGGGGGCGATGAGCAGGGTCTGTCAGAAGCTGAGATGGAGCTGCCTTTGGCCGATTAGACGTCCCAGTGGGTTATCTCAGTGTCTACACACCCGCGTGTGAAGCACATACATGCACACTGGGCAGGCACACACTCACGTGTGACACGTATGTCCTGGGTGTGAGTCCACACACCCACAGCCGCGGATATGCCCCCCCAGCTGACGTACCTCAGTCCCTGTGTGCAGAGAATCCACCCCAAGCTGCAGGTGTTTGCAGGAACAACATCAGTAGAACTGTCCCACGAGGAGGGAGCAAGAGCCCCGTTTGGGCCGTGAGCAGCTGTTAAATGATGCACTTCCATGAGGGTAGACCCTGCAGACTGGTGGCCAGAGGCTGCCCTCCGTCCCTCCCCATGAGGGTCTCTACACAGGGGCTGCCCACAACACGGCGGCAGACTTCGTCACAGCGAGCAGGAGACAGGGTCACAGCAAGACGCGGTCACACTCCTGTCAAACGTGCTGTCCTTGAGGGCCGTCCGTCGTGTTAGTGGCGCTCTGCTCCTTAGAGGCGAGTCCTGGGGAGTGATCCCCCTCCAGGGGCAGAGCTCGCACAGTCTGTGGGCATGAAGGGTCTCTGTAGCCCGGCAAGAACCTGCCTCCTGCAGAAATGCTCTCGGTGTGGCCCCAAAATGTTCTCTTGCCTTGGATCCGAGATCTCCTGACATTCATCCTCTCGCTGTCAGGGGTCAGGACACTGCAGGTGAGCGAGTTCCCATGACCTGTTCAAGGGGACGCTCCCCTGGGACCAGGAGGGATTCCAGCCTCGCCTCGAACTCATGGCACCCTCCTGCCTTCCCAGACTCAAGGGGGCACATGGGATGGATTTCAGGAAGATGGGTTCTAGGGTTTCCTCCTTTGTTCCTAATGAAAACCGCCCATGTTTTCCGTGTCCTATGCCCTAGGTGTCTGCAGCGCTGTGACCCGGAGTCCTGGAGCCCATGGGTCTGCAGTGGAGGATTCTGGAATCCCTGTTACTCTGAAGGGGATTCAAGGAGCTTCTGTGTTGTTTCACATGATCAGAAAACCAGAATTACCTCCTGAAGTCGAGCTGGAGAATATTACTTGGGGCATTATAAATCAAAAACTGTACACACCCATACTCCAAGTTAGTCCCAGGGGAGATGTTCCACGATGGGTCAACTTCCAGGACAAGTTCGAGAAGAGGGTCCATGTGCTCAACCCAATGACCCTGAGGATTGACAATCTGACCTTTGAGGACAGTGGGCTGTACCGGGCTCGAGAGTCCTATACGAGAGGAAGACAATATTACCAGGATTTCCACCTAATGGTCTACGGTACGTGGCGACCCCTCCCCCAGTCCCAGAACTGACCCCCTTCCTCTGTCCCCGGGAGTGTCCGTGCGCCCCACTTGCAGGATTCGGACTCGATCTTCTCCCCAGGAATTCGATGCTGTGAGGTCACCACAAATGCAGGCAGAGCTGAGACTCACACCGGGGATAAATCACATCTGTGCTTCAGGAGGGAACACAGAATAGGGGGTAAATGGGGATTTTGCCGTAACACTCATTGTCCCCATAGGACTCAGGGTCCTTAGTGAGACTCTTACTGTCTTGTGCTGCTGTAACAGGAGACAGCACCTCGGTGGCTGACCACACCACCCCCTGGGGTCCTCCTGGGCTATAGGGCAGGATTCAGACCCCAGAGCCTCTGCCATTAGGTCCAGGTGTCAGCAGGGCTGTGCTCCTCTCTGGAGGTTCTGGGGTAGTGGCACCAGTATCCCCTGGCTTCTGGCCCCTTCCTCCCCCATCACAGGTGGCACAGGTGGGATGAGTCCCTGACACCATGTCCCTCCCACCTCCTCTCCTGCCTCCTCCCACTTGTGAGGACCCTGTGATCACATGGGGCTTGTCCAGGGAATTCAGACCATCTCTAGTTTACAGTCAGCTTGTTTTCAGACTCAGTTCCCCTTTGCCATGGAACCTAAGACATCCTCAGGCTCTAAGGGTCAGCACGTGGCCATGGTTGGGGGACACTTGTCACCTATCAGGATCCGGAATCCTGCGTGTTGTTCTCCCCACCCCGTCCCCTCATTGTTCTCAGCCCAACCTGAGTCAGCTCACTCACAGACTCCACGGTCCAGCTCTGAACCTCCATGGATGGAGGAGAATTCACAGGGTAGCCCTTCCTCAGACCCTCAGGGAGCAGCTCACTCTCCCTGCACCCCTCCCCCCTGCCCAGGGAGTCATCCTGCTCCAGAGAGAGTGGCCTTCGGAGCCACAGGACCCGGAGATTCCTAAGACTGACTCTCAGTCTGTCCCACATTTTCCTGGGAGGACCCCAAGCTCAGTGCCTCGTCCAGCCACACTGCAGGAGGCCATTCCGAGTGACTCCCACTGCGGTCTCTCCTGGTGGAGACTGAGTCTGATCTCCGGGCTTCCAGAGCTGGCCAGTGGCCGTCTATACCACGGACTGTGCAGTCCCGGGAACCCTCTGAGCAGAAAAATCAAGACCAGGACCCGGAGAAGGACAAATCCTGTTCCCGACTTCTCCTTCTTCTAGGGGACACCCCACTCTCTCAGAATTCATGGATTATTGGGGGAACCTCCAACAACTATTTTCTCATGAAAGATTAGTAAGATGTGCTCAGTCTAGTGAAATCACATAGAGCTGAACTCAGTGGCTCCCTTCCTTTTTAGCCCCTCTGTATATTTGGGTCAATTCTCTGTCATCTGTAAAATGCAATCCCTGTCCTTAGGGGGACGAAGCCAGAGCTTCGGGGAGAATCTGCAGGAGAAAGCAGGAGCTGTGATGTTCTCCACTCACGTGAGGTTCTGTCCTCTCATCCCTCCCTCACCAGAGCCTGCGCCCCTTCCCCAGATCTGGGCCACGGTTCTGTCCCTCACACCAGGCTGGTGCAACATCACCATGGAGTGTAACACCACAGGAACCAGGGAGAACCTAACGGTGTCCTGGGAGAATGAGAGCCTCCCCAGGGAGCTGGAGCAGAGACAGGCCTCAGGACCAGCCCCCAACCTCTGGACTCTGGCTGTGAACCTGCCCCTGAGCCAGCCCAGCCCCAACATTACCTGTGTGGTCACCAATCAGGTGGACCAGAAAACTGCCACCCTGGACCTTGGGGACGTCTGTGTCCACAGTAAGTGCACCTGCCAAAGGAGAGGGACTCTCCCAGAGCTTACGGAGCTGAGGGCGAGGGTTCTCGGCTTCTGTCCCCCATGTTTATGTCACCCCTTGCCACTTGGTCACTCCGTTTAGGACTCTGGCAGGCACATCCAACCTGCTTCTGCCCTTCAGTGTCATTCCCGTGCTGCTCATCGGAGGGGTCTGGGCCGGCGACTCCTGCAGGAATCAGGGCTCGGGGCTCCTCTGCCCCTTTCTGGTCTCACAGACACACGTCACACCCACCTGCCTGCCTGCGTTCCCGGTGTGTCCCGCTCTCCTCCACTGCCAGCCTCTGCTCAGGCCCCTCCCTCTGCCCTCAGCCCTTCCAAGTCAGGGGTCCTCCACTCCCCACTGATTCCCATCCAGGAACCCCTCCCTGCAGCTGGCTCTGGGGGCCTGTGACCCGGGCAGTCCCACAGGGCCACGTGCTGGGGGCAGTCCCAGCATGAAGAGACTTTGCACAGGGGCTCCTCAGCCTCAATGGCTCAGGGCCCTGCAGGAGCTGCTGCTGTCCTGCCCTCACACCTTGTCTCCTCTAAGGAATAGTCAGTGGCCCCACACTGGGAGCTGATACTCTGGTCCAGGATTAGTGTCCTCTGCAGCCTGTAACCCTAGAGGGCAGAGGCCATGTCTGCTGCTCCTTTGAATGCCTGCCCCAGCCTCGGCCTCAGGCTGTTTGCTCACAGTCAGTAAGTTCCTGAATGAATGAATGTTCCCCGGGAGCCCCCTCTCCCTCCATCCCTCCTCCACCAGCTGCTGGAGGACCTACTCTCTCAGTATCCCTCATCCCAGAGGAAGCTCATGGCTCAGGGACCCACTAGGCCCTCTGGAAAGAGGCTCCTGCCTCCCTCTCATCCTCCCACCCGGCTGTCCCTACATGGTCCCTCTCTGGCCTGTCCCAGTGGGTGCCAGCAGCTCCCAGGGCTGGGGACTTGTCACAGCCATTCCTGGTCAAGGCTCTCCTTCCTGGGATGCCACACCCACCCTGAATATTGGGAAATCTCCTACTCCTCCCTTGCTCATCACCTCCTCCAGGAGGCCCTCCCTGATGACCTCGGTACAAGCTGTAGCTCTAGGGTCCTGGGATGGCTCTGACTGGCTGCCTCTGGCATGTGCTCAGCCCTCCCCCTGCTGAGGAGCTCCTCAAGGGCAGGCACCATGTCCTGCTCCTCTCAACACCCTGGCCCCAAGCAGGAGCTCGGGAACTGGCTGAGTGAGAGCCCCTGCCGTGCTGCTCCCTCTAGAGCTTCTGACCAGGTCCCTTCAGAGTCTCCATGTGCCTGGCAATGGGTGTCCTCAGTTCCCTGTTGCCTTAACCTTCTTCACTCTCTCTCTGCGATGGAAACACATCCGCAAGGACAGACCAGTGCTGCCCACTTGCAAAACATCCTGGTGCCTGTTGTGGTCCTGCCGCTGATCTTCGGACCTGGACTGTACCTTTGGAAGAGACGTGGGATGAAGAAGAAGGAGCCTGTGAGAGGCAGGTTACACTTCTCCTTCCCATGTCCAGACACCTCCCTCCCTCACTGGACCTTGGGCTCCCTTTGTCCTGCATTTTACTGCTCAGGGAATAACCCTGCAGGAGGCTGGCAGGTGTGGCCGTGGCCATGGGGTCATGGAGGAGGAGGGTACAGGCTTCCAGGCTGAGACTCAAGCTCCATCTGTGTGTGACTCAGGGACAGGATCACAGGAGGAGCCCAGGAACCCGGATGGTGGCATCCACTATGCAGAGCTGAGCCAGCAGGAGTCTGGACACCACAAGGACAAGGTGAGGCTGGGGGAGGAGGCATCCAGGGTTCTCCCAAGTCCCTCTGTGCCTGGATGTGTGCCTGTCGATCCCAGTCATCTGCAGGCTTTTGTCTCCATGCCTCTGTAACCCTTTCCAGACAACACAGTATTAACTAAGGACACTCTCCTGGGGTCCATGCAGTGCTGGGCACTGGGGGTGGTCATGTCAGCAGCCCTAGGTCTGTGGGGGTCCCTCTGGGTCCTCTGCATCCCTCAGCTCTTCCTGGAACCCTCTGTCTGCATTCCAGGGTAGGGGAGAAACACATCTAGAAGAGGAGAACTCTCTCATTGCTGTACAGTGAGGTCCACAGTCCAGGCCAGACCATGACCACGATTTAATGGGAAGAAGCAGGAGAATCCCGCCCCGGGGACACCTGTCTCGGGAGCATGACGCCCGCAGCTCTGGTCCTGCCTCTTCCACCTCCGATGGCTCTGAGCAGGGACTCGATGGGTCCAGCAGTTCTTTCTGTGCTAAATCCTTGTGCACAAGCTCCCCGTGAGACACACACTGGTAGATCAGGGGAAACTGAGTAAATAAATTGGTCCCAACCTGTTCCAGGACCACTCAGCCTCTGTTACGTGACAATACTTTACGGCCCCCACTGTCCCCTCATCTGTACGACATCAAACAGCTTTTCAGACCCTCAGCCTCTGGGACAAGCCGTGGAGAATCACAACATCCCCCCCGGGCCCGTCTTGAGCACCCCCAGCCGTCAGTCCCGCGCTGAGAGCTCTTCACAGACAACGTGAATTCGTCATCGTCCCTGCTTGCTGAGGGCGGGCTCTGCGACCCGCACTGTTCAGACATTCTGCTCGCTGCTGACTCCCTGGGTCCTGGTGGACTCTCTGTGCGGGGGGAGCCTTGTGCCCACTTTACAGATCAGTAGAAGGAGCCAGAAAGGCTGACTCTG